TTTTTTTTTTTGTGGTTACACATAATCCAGTGCAACCGGTAAAGACCTTGCAGCAGCGCGTGCAGGCTTCTCTTACAGGGGAATTAGAAAAAATAAATAGCTGTAGCGTGTCATTCAACATCTCTCTACACATCAGGCCAGTTTGTCAGTTGCCTGTAGCAGCAGATGGAAATCGAGAGATAGTCCTGGCGGAGAAACGAATCGGAATCAACCAAAGGTGACTTAGTTCAGGGGTTTTTTTTCTCTCCCTTCCTCCCACCCCCCAAGTCCACAGAAAACCGCAATGCATTTTAACTGATCAGCTTCAAAAAATAATTCGGATTTCTTTTTCTACATATAGACAGGTTGAGCTTACAGTAAGAACTCGGAGACCAAAAGCCAAACTCACAAACTAAAAGCCCTTGCTCAGCAGGATCGTAACTGTAATGGTGCCTAAACTTACGCTGCCTTTTCCTAATTCGGGTTTAAGCTCCCCTCAGTGAATTCAGCTTCTCTCACCTCCTTCCCCTCCAAATGCCAGAAACACCCCAGATGAAACCCAGTGAAATCCCTGTCCTCGGACACAAACCTCTCTCTTCCCTCGCAGCAGAGACCCACGACACTCAGGAGACCGCTACGGGTGTCTCGCCTCCCGCTGAAGCTGTGCCAGGGTACAGCGAGGAGCGCGGGAGGGATTTAGGAGGAGGCGAGGGTGAGCGAGGGAGAGCTGGGCTTTCTCTGTAACCTACTTGTGAGAAATCTGGCAAGCGCCGGGGCCTCGGCTCCCTGATCCAAGGATTGTTTCCAGATTGGTTGCAGCTGAAACATAAATATACACACACACACACACAGAGTATACACTGTATATATTGTAATTGTATATAAATATGTATAGTGAATACATATGTGTGTATATATACACACACGTGTATGGTGAGGGAGCCGTGCAGTGGTGTGGCAGCTCCCTGTGATGAGATGTGGAGCCTGTCAGTGCTATTTCAGGCACAGCTAATTGTACGGGTGGGACAAGGCCCTGTGGCTGGCTTTACCACTCGCCGTAAAACGCAGAAGCAGCACCAGCACAGGCTGGTCCCTCAGCGGTTCCCCAGACCCAGCCTGAACGTTGCTTCAGGCGACCACCCCTGATTGATTGCCCCACACACCTTTCCCCTTGTGAAAAAAGTACTTGGAGCTGCACCCAAAGCCTTTCCCCTGCCTCCCTCCATCCCCAGCCACCCTCAAGCTAACGCTCAGACCTCTTTGCCCATCCCAGTTGAAACGGCAGTGGCAGCAGCATGAAAAAGTGATGTGATCGCTCCAGCCAAAGCTCTCTGCAGGAGCCATGGCTTCACGGGGGGGCAGAGCGAGAGGGAGCAGCACCTTCCAGACCCCTGTGATGGACGCACTCCCATAGGAGGCCGGTGTCCCAGCTCAACTCCCATGCAACTGGGAACCAAAATTAGTTTGTCCTTTCTGTCACTGCTTCTGAGTGTTTTTTCCCTATAGCCCCATGTTTCAAGTGTCAGCAGGCTCAACACCGTGTGTCGGAGCAAATGCCTGTTCTTCAGAATCAATGTCCTTTTTCATGAGCTTAATGTTGACAGCCTCTTGACTAAAACCACCTGAGGTTTTTGGGTAGCTAGTTGGAGAATATAGCTAGCAGGGACAGAATTGAAGCGTACATATGTAAGGCTATATGAAACAGCCATGTTGTAAATAATTTCTAAAACCAGGGCAATAACTCATGAATATTTACAGTCAGCTGGTATGTTGGTAATGGCAAAGGATGTTTTGTTCAGCTGGTGGGTTTGTAACAAGCCTTGCATGGGAGCTGGGGCTCTGCAGAACTTCAGGTACTTGGTACCTCTGGGCCAAAGGAATACGAAGCACAATACCTCCTCTGGATACCAAATGTATCACAGTGACTCAAGAAATGGTCCAGATAAAATGCTATCTGGTGAAACCCGGAGAATGGATTGACTCAAGTGCAAGGTTATTGCAGAAAATCATTGCTCTGGTGGTGGAAGAAATGATCGACAGAAGAATATAATGCTCAGGGTTAAACTGATTGCAGTATCATCCCAGAAGAGGTCACTTCCTCAGTTCAGGGGACAGAGTTTTTGACATAAAGTAAAAAAGTTGTGTAAAAATATAACACCGCTTCTTTTCAAAGGCAGTGGTAAAAGGTGACTCGTGTTTTTCCAGTAGCAATCTTTATTTCTGTTCCAGGTTGTTTAAAGGACTAAGGCAGTGTGGCCCTGGTGTTGTAGTAAGACACATTTTTCTGCTGAGCTTGCGACTACTGCATCATCATTAGAAGTATTTACCTTCAAATTGACACACCTACAGTACCCCTTTCTGCTATTTGCCATGTAAAAAACACAGCCGCTCTGCGTGCAACTGATGCTGCGGTGTTTTCCTGGGTTCTCTCCATCAGCAGTGACATCGCTCTCTTTAAAACATCCCTTGCTTCATCACAAAGGAGCTGAAGGCTTGTCTTAGGGCTTGGTTTGCCTCCGCTGCCACGCCAGTGCTGGGAGGTCTCTGCCAGCACGGCTGCACAGCATCCCCAAGGGCTCTAGGTAAGCAAGTCTGCGCTAATGACATCATTCGGTTAAATGTCTTTCATCACCACTGGTGACAATGGTAGACTCTCGGTGTCGAAACTTTGTTGAAAGATGTTAATTAATGTCGTCAGCAGGACTGTTTCCCAGACAGCTCCGGGATGAGGAGCGGTGAGCAGGGCCCCCTTCACGCACCATGTAAAACTCCGTCAAGCCCCTTAGCGTAATGGGGACCGCTGATCGGAGGGATGCCCTCAGCAGGGTAGCAGGATAGAGCTGGCGGGTTTCGCCGCTTCCCCAGCATGGGGCTGGGCTATGGTCTTGCAAGCCTGCGTGTTGAGGTAGAAGTTTGGGAGCAATCCAACAGAAAGCCACTCTGAGCCTGACCTTGAGCAACAACGGGCAGGAGCCAGGCAAGGAGCTCGCTGGAGCTGGAGAAATCCCTATTGCTAAGCCTACTGCCGGCCAGCGTTGGTTTTGGAGCCTGCAGGACTTTGTGTATGTTTTTTGGGGGTAAGCAGATAAGATTCTAGCTGATTTTTTAAACAGTTCTGCAACTCGCTGCACGTTTGGCGACTGCTCAGGTGACCCCGTTTCCCCTGCGTGATCTCCGAGTTTACGCGTAGTGGTTTTAAGCCCAGTGGTTTCTAAACCTACCTAAAGTGGTGTGGGCATGCGTGGCTGTTTAACTGATCTGAACTAAACCGGTGGAAAAATCTCGGCCCCGAAGCATCACTGGATTTTTAAGTGTCTGAACCCCTTTGTTATTATTGTACATTTTGTCTAAAATTAAGTACAGAGAGATTCCTGAATAGCAGAGATACACCTCTGCTCTTGCATCTCATCACAGTAGCTGTTGAGAGAACTGTGTTGTATTCTTTAAAATGTAAGAGACAGCGTCAGTAATGACCATTCAAGGATAGTCAGAAATTCAAAGCACAAAAAAATCACATTAAAAAGATTGATCTTGGTTTCTTTCCTTCTTCCTTTATTAGGTTTCGTGTTTTCAAGTGTTTCAACACAATAATGTTTTTAAATATAGTGTCGCTTAAATGCTTATATAATCACAGGACTCCCAAAGCTGGATTTTCAAGGAAAGAAACCGCCAAATATAACAAGACTCATGATGAAATACTGAGACCTGGCATCAGCGTACTAACTTAGCAGGCAAATAGGTAAGCTGGAAATTGGCCAGGGATTGCAGGAGATAACACTTCATCTTTTGCAAAGAAGCACCATGAAGATTTTAATGATCCACTAAAACTACCCGTTTGATCAAGAACATGGCAGCATTGAACAGTGTTCCCAACACCCAGAAAATGATTATTTTCTGTTAATGAGGTTTTTACAAAGTCTCCCAGCCATATTGGCCTGGTCGCTAGCCTTAGGACAGAGGCACTTGGCACTCCAGATTGTTTTCTGCAGCCTGTTCCAAGAAAACCGCAGGAATTGTGTTTTCCTTCCAAACAGAAGGAAGAACATTTAAGTCAGTCAGTTCCTTCCAAAACATTTTGAGTTTCATACTATTTCTTCCACTGCTCCAGAGTCCTCCTGATAGTGATAGGACCAGCCCCAAGTCCCAAGTCACACACCTTTGCTTTAGGGAAAGTTTATTAGTCGCTGGCTATGAGTGTTGTTGGCCTCGACACGTGGTTTGGGACACGTTTCATCCATTGCGTCTCACCTGGTAGCACCATTACTTCGGTCCACATTATTAATAAACATTAGTGTTTATATTTTCCATAGAAAATAGCTTAAAATACTGTATTTCTTTTTTTTCCTGTGCTTGGCTACTGCTGATATTTTTTGCAGCTTCTGGCTGATCCTCTCAGATAAGAAATGGTGTCTGTTGGTCTGTCCGTCCCCTTCCCTTCACTAACTGACAGTACTTTGCTGCCCTCACTGCAGAATTAACCTTATTGCTCTCACAATAAGCACGGTGAGAAGCAGGTTAGTTCGAGCAACCTTATTTGATCATGGCTGCTTCCTTTCCGCAGAGGGATACAAAAAATTCTCTCTCTAAGAAATCCTTCTCCTTTTTCTCTTCCACTGCCTCCAGTGTATTTTTGGATAAGCCTGGAAGTATATGGCAAGTCTGCGGGTCAGGTCTAACAGGAAGGGAGATGGAGAGGGACTGTAGTACATTAAAACGTGTCTTTTTACCACAGCCTGATTTCATTCGAATCATTCTTTCTTTCACTGCTGTCTCTCGGGACTTTTCTTTTTATGCTTCAAAACATTTTTTCTGAACTCTTATTTCTGAGCTATTTTTGACTTGTTTTCATTCCCTTATTTTGTTACTCACATCCAGAGTGCCCGTACACTTTAAGAAAAAAAAAAAACACACCACCAAAAAAAACAACAAATGGGCTGCAACTACTCAAAGATTAGTAAATGCAAAGTCTTAAAAATCTTAATTTTAGCAATCTGGTTTTAGCATCCCTCTTCCTACCCTTTCTTGCTGTCTTAATGGTTTGTACGCATTTTTGTTCTTTCCCCAAAACTCTGGACTTACTCATGGGGTGGGTAGTGCTCATTTAATAAAAAGAGCTATCTGACCTCGTGCTACATCGTGTTGTCAGTGACCACGCACTATTCACGGTGATCAAGCCCTTCCCTGAAGAGTGTCCCACACCACCGCCAGCTGCCCTGTCCTGGCTGTCCACGGTTTGCCCGTCTCCCCAGGCCCCCAACCAAACCCTCACCATGACATCATTATTTCCTCCCTCGTGCTTCACCAGAAAGCTGGTTTCAGGACACAGCACCATCGTGTCAGCAACTGCAAGACCGGGGGGGAAGCTGCGAAAGAGGAGCTTCTTGCAAGCCCAGCCACCTTCAGACACTTGGGCACCTTCATCGTGGCCGGAGGAGTATGTCTCCCCTTGCCACCTGCAGCCCTAAACCCCTTTGCAGAACAGCGCACATGAATCTCTTCCTTTGTAAAGAGCATCACCAGAGAAGCCAGCCTTTCCAACGCACAGTTCAGTAGGATACAACGAATCCGGCACAAACTGGAGGATGGCTGGAAAGCAGGTTGTGCTTCCTGAGGCAGCTGCCTTACCCTTAAGAGCTTAAGTCAATGTGGTGGCTTGCTACCACCAAGATGGGGAGGTCTCTCTGCCCCCTACTAGCTCATCCTCCCCTCTCTTACCAGCACTGGCTCTAGTACTTTTTGGACCCAATTCAGTGTGCTAAACCAGCAGACCCGCTTTACTTTTGCTGGGTTAGTTATCTTCAGGACGAGCGAGCTGCGATGGCTCAGGTAGGCGGTTTGCAAGAGCTGAGGCCAAGTAAGAAGGTGGTGGGAGAGTACGGCCAGAAGTGGGAATGGGGTGAAGCTGGTGAAACAGAACTTCTCCTTTTTGCTGGAGGAGGGTATTATGTCCACCCCACCCCAAGGAATAGCCAGGGGTCGGGCCCACACGATGCTCGGTAAGCACTGGCCCAGGAGCAGGTCACTGCGGAGAGAGGGGTGATCTGAGTCCACACTGATCCCATCGCGCCTGAGCACCCCGGTCGGATCGCTTCCTCCTGTGTTGTGTTTGAGGCTTTAGCAATGCCTAAAACTGGTCCCTGCAGGCCAAATCGGCGTCTTCATGACCCCTTAGCTATGACTTGGATGCCTGTTAAATTTGGGCGTGCTCCAGAGTGGATATCTACCTGCATAGGGAAGTTTACTAGCAGAACAAGTTTGCTTGCTGAGAAGCAAAGGGCTTGAGATAGTGACGGGTTAGCTCTACCCAAGGTTTCCTTCCCTGCACCTCAGTCCCCTCAGCCCCAGCAGCCTGCAGCGATGCATGACAGCCTGGGTGGCAGGGCAAGTCCTGCACATCTCCACTGCAACCTCGCTAGCGTGGACGTAAGCCTCAGAGACCTGCAGGGACATGGCACACACCTACTGAGCACATGCTTTTAAACTATTTTTTTAATTTAAAATGGGATAAAGTGGGTGCATTTTCTTGGGGAAGGAAAAGGGGTGCATCCCAGACAGCTGCTGCCGCCTGATCAGTTTGAAGCCCCTGTTTCAAAGCACAGGAGCTGGAACATCGCCTCGAGCCTGCCAGGCGCTTTTAGCATAAACAGAACAACCTGCTCTTCCCCGCCTGCCTTCCCAGGCAGGTAGGAACCACATGGGCTGAAATTTTCAGCAGCACTGCCAGCCTGCCTGAGGCAGGCCCCTGGCACGGAAAATGTCTGCCCAAACGGTCGAAATACAGCAAAGCTATCCGCAGCGGAGGGCAGGTGATTGCTCTCTCCTCAGGTCGAACACGAGCCTTTGGGAGCCTTAGTAACAGGCGGCGCATCCCAGCTCAGAGCATGATTCTCAGGTTATCGGAGCAGAAACCTCACTTGTCTTCCTAACGTTATCACATGTGACCTTACACCTCTCTTGATCTGCTTTGTGGCCGCTTTTGCTGGCTCTGCTTTATATCTGTGCTTTCCAGTTTCACCAATGCCCTGCCTAAACCCTGCCTGTGAACAAGTCTGTGCCTCTGCTCATTTGATGTTGGATTACCTTTCTGATTTACGGTTTGGTTTCTTTCCAGGAGAGTGCACTTTTTGTAGTCTCTCCGTGCTGCTGCTGAGTGAGAGATCATGACATCTTTAATCTTCCTGCGTGAAGCCCCACTGCACCCGGCTGTGCTTGGATGCCAGCGACTTCAAAGGGCATGTGTGCCAACCTGGCAGTACAACGGCTGCGGGGTATGGAAATTTGAGGGGAGATTTTTTTTGCCTGTTGTGATCATGTAGGCGTCTGTCCTGCAAATATTCATGCACACATGTATTTTCAGTCATAAGAGCTCTACGGAATCCCATTTATCTCAGAAAGGTTAAATCCCAGTCTGCTGCTGCTACACCTGGATCTTGCAAAATGCCATCGTACAGAAACGTGGCTCCCCTGGAAAGGCAGGCGTTTCATCCCCGGCTCTTTGCTCTCCGGGGGTTGTGTTCAGTGGGTGGCGGAGGGGAACGCTGCTGGGCTCCGATCCCGAAGCCCGGCACGGGGCCTGAGCCAGCTCACAGCAGGGCCCATTAGCTCTGCCTGTGCTAATAGGGCCGCATGACTTCTGAACTGAAGCTGGCGCTCCTTCACCCAAACAGAAGAACCTGCCCACATTTATTCATGTAGACAGGCCTCTGAAGTCCCTGCTAGCTCCTCTAGGCATCGGCATAATTGCTCTTATGCCCTGGAGCTCTTGCCACTGGAGATGGCTGAAGCACAGAGCAGCTAATACGCTGTCATCCATCGCCAGCATGTTGTTTCCTCGCCATCGAAAATGTCCTGGTGGGCAAGACAGATCCGTTTTGGGCCAGATCACTCAGGTTTGGGCCAGACCAGATATACAGTTTAACCAGAAAGCTAATCTGCTTCAGAAATGGGAATTCTGAGGCTGTAATTCTTCAAGGTGTGGTGAGCAATTTAATCGCTTGCTGCTACCAAAACCAACACAAAAGTATTTCGCCTCCTCCTTTCTCAAGATCTGCCACTATAAACCTTTGGGTCCAACTCCTTTTTTTTAAAGAAGACTGCAGTGATTTTTGCCTTAAAGAACATTTTCCTGGTTTAACATCTCTTCACAACCTGCACTGCAGGTCTGTGCTACTCTTCCTAAGCAGAGGACGGTGACTGCCTTTCCAGTAGGTAATGTTACCACCACAATGGAAAGATGCTTTCACCTGGTAATTATTAGTAACGATGCAGTGGCTGTAAGTCTAATGCATATTAGCTGAACATTATTGAGAGCTGGGGAGGACCTGAGCAGGGTAATTGTACAGTGGTGCTCTGGTGACACTGATCTCTTTCTCTCCCATGTGTGTCCAGGTTAGTGTTTAGCTCTACAGGAGTGAGTAAACACGCAGACAAACCTTTGCGGACTTCTTGTACCCTACAGAAACGGCACGAGCACAGTAATGACTATATGATAGAGCAGGAGAGGCCACACGGTAGCGTAAGATGATTTATTTTTGCTCAAGTAATAACTGGGTTAAGAATATCTTCTTAAAGATGGTCATTTAAATTTTTATTTTTCATGCTGATTAATACAGATGCAAGGACAGCATGCGACATGCAATATAACTTTGCTGTTGGTAATCACTTGTTAATCAATCAGAGACGGTAAGATAGGAGGCTTGCTGCCTTTTTTTTTCCAATGCAGAAAAAACTTGGGGAGCACAGATCAGTCACACTTTGAAGCATGCAGTACCCGGCGTGGGAGAACATTTTTCAGAGACCTTGCCTGGCCTGCTGCCGAGCAAATTTTAGGCACCTGGACAAGAAGAATCCTGGTCCTGTTGATTCAAATGCAACACGTGTCCTTGGGTTTAGCAAAGTCAACATTTTATCCTTGATCATTTCATATGAATTTTTTGTCGTGTGGTTTGGGTTGGCCACTTCATGAGAAACAGTGCTACATAGTAGCACTAGAAATAGTGCTAAAGAAAAAAAAAAACACCCCAATACCAGTATAACCGAATCTCTGAATCATTACAAAGCCACTAAATATGCCTATAGAAAAGCTTTTCCATAGTACTAATCTTGCATAACTTGTTAATTTATTTTGCGCTTCAAACAAGCCATACTGAAATGTTTGGAGAGGAAGGAGAGAACTGCACAGCAGAGAGAGGAGAGAAATACACAGCAGAGAGAGGGCTTTTTCTTTTTATCTGAAAAAGGAACATACGTTGTAAGGTATACATTTTAGTAAAGAAGCCAAAACCCTCAAATCTCCACTACTGTCACCATTCCTATACAGTTCCCATCAAACCTACGGTCTCAATATGTGAAACAATCAATCAGTCTCCCCTAGCCGGGGAGAGATCCTGCTGCCCAAGGCACAGATTGATTTCCGTGCGAGCGCCCAGACAACTCCAGGCTAGGCTAAAAAAGAAACAAAGTAAAACAAAGGCTGACAGAATACCTTCATTGGGATTCATTATGGACAAATTCCACCTCCTCTTATTTCATCAGAGGTTTCAATCCCGTATTCATCTCTGGTTTCCACTTAAACATCATATATTTTCATTTAAAATAAGCTCTCACACACAGAGAGCTAAACTCTTATATGTAAATAAACAATACAAACCAGGAATACTATTCCACGATCTAAACACATTCTCTGCATAGCAGCAGATTGGAAAAGGTATCTGCCTTTGCCCTTCCCAGACTATGTGAGCAGCTTCAGGAATAAATTATCCAAAATGATCTGAGGCTGCGTTTGTGACAAGAACAGTTACAGTTATGAAACATGTATATTTTGTTTACTAATATTTGAATTCTGTGCACGGGCGATGCACGTGCAGATAGCGAAGCAGCCTCCCTCCTGGAGTGCTTATAACCTAATTGGATGTGTAGCGGGCTCAGTGTCTAACTCCTGAGGAAGAACATCAGATGGGTGTTGACAAGCACGTGGAAGGTATAAGACATTTCTCTTGGACAGCAGTGGAACAACTTCAGAAGGATTGTCTTGGACTATGTGGGTCTTTCTTAATCAAGGGGAGATTTTTTTTTTTTTTTTCCCTAAAAGACAGTCTCTGTCACAAGTACCTTTCTTGATCCTGAAACATGAGTTTATACAGGGATGTCAGAGGATCTGAATTATGCAGGTGGTCAGCCCAGAGTGATGTCTTCTAGCCTTAAAACCAACGCATCTCTCTCGGAAGTGAAAGGAAGGAAAAGACAGGTGGTAGCGCAGAGTTTGTACATTTACAAATCCCCTATGAAGTTGATTGCTCCAAATTTATACAAAAATGTCAGCTGAAGCCAACT